CCCTCCCTTCCTGAGTATATTTTGAACTTTTTTACCTACCCGGATAGGGAGGGGGATACCCGGATATATTTCTTGAATATGGAAAATGTTTGAATTATTTACCCGGATAGGGAGGGTGCTACCCGGGTATATTTCTTGAATATGGAAAATGCTTGAATTATTTACCCAGGTAGGGAGGGTGCTACCCGGGTATATTTCTTCAAACTCATTTATTCTCCAACAAGTCTTTGGATGAAAATATATCATAACCAATGTGAATGTCCACCTGCAAATAAATGCAATACGATTAAATGGTCTCGGTGGTCAACAAACAAGAATCATGCAAGTGCCAACGAATAAGTTGAAGTTCAAATTACATAGTCATAAGATATATCATATATTCATCTTACTGGGTATAAAAATAGAAAGAAAAAACTCCATCCAAGGCAATAATATCAAAATGGATGCGAGCCAAGCAAAGGAATGCGAAAGCTCTATATGAGAGAAGCCACACTGGATTGAGATTTCTCCAACGAGGAATCCACAGGTGATTGTAACTCAAGGATTCTGCTTTGGCCTTTAGAATGTGCATCAAAGCTATTATGACTGGGACAATGAGGATCAAAGCACTGACAGACACTTGCCATCGAAGCCAGTACCTATAGCCCTCACTGTCTTCACCATCTGGTATGATTATTTACCCGGGTAGCATCTTCCCTACCCTGGTAAATAATTCAAACATTTTTCAGATTCAAAAAATATACCCGGGTATCCTTCTCCTTACCCGGGTAGGTAAAAAATTTCAAAATATACCCGGATAGGGAGGGTGATACCCGGGTAGACTTGGTGGTCAACGGCCAAACAGGGGCAGATTGATGTTATGTTTTCTGGAGAGGTTAAATTTTTGAAATAGTTTATAATCAAGGTAAATTTGGTAATTAATTATTACATAAGGGCTACAATGGTCAAAAAGCCAATTTGTGGAAGCTTCCACGTTGTGATAGTTTGGTGCCACCAGTCAAATTTTCCATTTTAAACTTTTATGAAACTGGTATTTGAGATAATTACCATTTCGCATAAAGTATTGAAGTTTATCAATTTCCTATTTTCGTTATTTGTATTTTTCTACGCTTTCAAAATGAAATCTATAATGCGTATAGAATTTATATAGAACCAGAAAACATCAATGTCGACTATTATTAGAGAGTGAAAGTGAGGAACAATAAGAAAGGGAGTTGACCGTTGACCACCAATATCGACACGCGGTCAACTCTCAGACGCTTTCCGACACGTTTTTTCGACACGCAATCATCTTTCTCCGACACGTGGTCAACGCTCGGACACGTTTTTTTTTTTAATCTTAATTTTATTTTATTAACTAAATATAAAAAAAATTATAAATTAATTTTTTTTCTGTTATGAAATTTGACATGAAAAATTAACAAAGTACGAAAAATTATTTTTATTTATATTTATGTTATGAAATTTAAATATTTGATTGATTATATGACTTATTATGGATTCCTATATGTATTAAATATAAATTATATTATATATATTAAAAATTTATTTAATATTAAAACGTGTCCCAACGTATCTAAATATGATATTTTTTAGAATTAACGTGTAGGCGTGTCGTGTCGTGTCGTGTCCCGTGTCTATGCATCATAGGACATATATTTATATTTTAAAGGAAAAATTATTCTTAAAAAAGAAAAAGTGTTTCCCCTTCTACATGAGATCAAACTCTTCTCGAGTTTCAATGATCTGAGCATCTGGTTTTGTTGATTGGTCCTCATCCTTGATCAGATTGACTGGAAGAATGCAAAGTGACAATGCTTCTTCCTCCTCCTCCTCCTTTTCTTCTTCCAGTTGTTCTAATATTTCCTGGGGGTATTGTTTGATTCCATCTCACAGAAGGTACAGATTCGGTTCAAAAACTATTGCATGACAGGGTGGAATGTGGGAAGGGATAAATTATAAGATTAGGATTTATAGTAAGAATGTTCGACAAATATATTTGAACAGGGGAGGGTGGTGTGTCACAGGCTAGAATGAAAGAGGTTTGGGCATGTAACTTTTAATATCGTTTGTGGAATTTTAACGGAGATGTTGATTTGATACAATAATAAAGTACAGAGAGTTAATTAAAATAATTGAAACTACAAGATGTAATTTGAAATATGGTTAACGTTCAAGAGGTAAGTTATATTTTAGTCTAAAAATTATTGAATTGAATTTGCAAGTCAACAAGTCGTGACATGCTGTAATGTGGATAAATCAGGTTTGATTGTTTGGTATTTATGACATTATCAAAAAAAATATTAAAATAATAAGTTGGGTTGAGAATATGTGTATTTTCATCATTGAACAGACATAATTGCTATTGATGAACAAGCATGACTCTTCACCACCGAACAAATATGACTTTTCATTATCAATAGGCACATTCGTCATAGTCAGTCATGATTTAAAAATAAGGAAGGAAGTCAAGATAAAACATTGACTTTTTTTAATTCTCTCATATATTAAAACTCTACCAAAATGCTTTTTTAAATCTAACATTCATTCTGCATTCATTTTGTGTGGTAGTTTAAATGTACATTGCGTCTGCCGGTACTATTTGTTTGAGAGTGTCGTCAACAAATAGAGATAATATATTATATCTTGAGAGATCATTGTCTTTAAATTTTAAGCGTCATAGAAAGGAAAAAATTATCTTAAGGACACAACATCAAATACTGAGCAAAGATTTTCCCTTATTGCATTCATATATTTTCATATAGTACATTTTAACTTTGTGTTATAGCATGTTTTAATTTTTTATGTGCATCTCATAAAATTATAAATATTATTGAAGCAATTTCTATAACACAGTTCATTCTCTCTAATTTTAATATCATTTTTCTAAGTATTTTTTATTACTGCATCATAGGAAGTAACGAACTTCCGGTGGATTTACCTACCTAACTCATGGGTAAAGAAAACAATATTATCCATCCACCAAAAAACAAAAGAAAACAATATTATCAACAATTTAAGGAACATTTTGAAATGCATGTGAAAAAACATATGCATTGCGAGTCGTTTTGATGTGCTTGGTTAGTGGAAGTTTGAGTTCTTTGTTATTTACTTATCATGTTGCATATTTGTGTTTATCAATTGTGAAATATTGGAACTCAGTTGGGACCACTGTGCCTGTGGTTGACACTATATTGGAGTTTGGGGCATGATAATAAGATTTTGGAACTCAGTGTTGTTAGGACCACAATGCCTGTGATTGACACTATATTGGAGTTTGAGGCATGATTTTGAAACTCAGTGTCGTTGGAACCATCATGTCTGTGGTTGACACTATACGGGAGTTTGAGACATAATGGTGTTGTTAGGACTACAGGGCCTGTAGTCGACACCATATTTGATTATATGATGGTTTTTTGATAAACCATGGAATTTCTATGGCTTTAAGGCATTTGAGAGAAATTTGAAGACTGACAGAGAAAATAGCAGTTTGGCTGTTGTTGGATCACATTGGCATGCTATTTTCTTGCTACACTCCACACTAATGACTAGTCGACGAAGTCAAGTAACATTTGTGATCATGGAAGGTCTTATATCAATAAGGGTATAATCACCGCTTGATTCAATGTTATTTGATTTTTGTTGGATAAAGTCATATTCAGATATCGCAACTTGGATCATGTGTTTTCTTAAAATGTGGCCACATTATAAGAATTAGTCCTTATTAGCCCGAGAGTCGTTTTCAAATAACTTATTTTCTATTCTCTTTTCAATTAAAATTTTACAATTGATTTTGCCCAAGTGGGAGAATATTAGAAATTTTTATAATAATTGTGGACTTCAATCAATTGTAGTTTTTCTTGTTTTAATAAAAATGGGATAAGTCATGATCCATATAGGGGTGCAGTACAAAGCCCAGTTAATTAGTGATCCTTTAGATTTTGGCTTGGATATCTGTAAACTGATTAGAGTGGGTAACAATGTATGCCTAACTCATATGCCCATGATGAAAAAGGGACTAGGGTTAATAAGTTTGGTTAGGCCTCCTTTGCATTCATAATGTGTTGAAAAACTGTCACTCCACAACTCGCCTCATCGACGGTTGTAATTAGGGAACGGTGTGAATTGCAGAGGAAGATCCTAATTTTTCCATTGCAGGAGCATCAGAGTAAACAAAAAATCTTCAAGTAATCAAGAATCATGTCACAAGTAAGCCTGAATTTTTTGGTGTTCTAATTTCATATAATTTTATTTCATGAAATTTCTTACACTTGTCTCTCTTAAAAAGACCATCTTGGATACCAAGAAAAAAAAAAGGATACACATTTTTTTCTCAAAGTCATATATGATGCAATTTTATTAATTTATGAAAAAAATTGTACTTTAAAATTTTTAATTTATAATTTAAAAACGAAATTAAAATAAATAAAAGAACTAGTTCAATTGTTGGAAAATTGCAAAGGACGAGACAGCGTGAAACAACCCACTCGAATTCTACCTGCCCCAACATTAGTTTTTTTTTTTTTGGTATTAATAGCACCAACATTAGCAGCTTATTGCAAAAGACTATAAAGTGCGCACACACGACACACCCCTTGAAATGTCATGTCATGCATGTTCACGGTATTCCAAAGTTACTTTCCACGTTCCAAATGCAATTCAAATTCAAAAAGACGAGACGTAAGAAAAAGATAACTGGGGAACACAGGGACCCAATTCAATTCATTACACTTGTTTATTTTCCACATTACAAATCAAATCACTGGAGAACCTGTGGGAGAGGCAGAACCATGCCAAGAACATCAAGGACCAAGTTGGAAAATGTTAATCAAGCACAAACAAAAGCTCTAGAAGAGTAGAATACAAACTAAATAAAACTATTCAACTACACATCTGTGCTTAATGAAGCATGCTTGAAGCATAACACTGCATATTTCTAGTTCCTTTATTTAATTTTTCTAGTTGCAGGAACTTTCACACTATCAGCTGACGAATATGATCGAGGGGTCACAGCAGCACTCATCTAAGAGGCAACAACAACACAGAGCTGCAAGACTGAAGGATGAACAGAGAAAAAAAATTGTGTCAATCACCCAAATAAATAGAAGTCAACAAAAATTTGAAAAAATAAAAGAAAAAGTGTTTAAATAAGTAAAAATAAAAACAACATGGCTAATAATTGAACATAACAAACAAGTACTCTGCATAGCAATGGAAAGCTGGGAACTTACCATCCCTCAAGGAATCCAGTATCTCTTCTGGGCGGTGGAGCAGCATATTGTGGCGGTGCCATCACAGGAGGACCTTGATAATACCCTGCCAACAAAAGTTCCCCGCAAAGAAAATGATTCATGGAGAAAGAAATGTCATAGAAAGAACATAGTAAACCAAATTTGGTATGACAAGAAAAAAAAAATACAACTTTTTATCTCAAAAGTGGGAAAAGAATAAAGGGTAAGGGGCAGTTTTCTCCACCATCAATCTATAATATCATATGGGACAAAACCAAGTCTTGTTTCAAAGGATGAAACTTTTTGAAATTAAAATGTTTGATAATGAACAAGGTTCAGTCCAGTAGACATAAGCATATATAATATGAAGAGAAGAAACATGAAAAGAAGGTTACCTTGAGCAGGGTAAGGATAGGCATACTTGGGGTCGCTCATTTCTGGCAAGATGTTCACAAAGCACAGATTTTTGTCACTCTAAAATCAGAACACTGTCTGATTGCTGTATGTACAAAGCAGAAGGGAATTAGTTTTTGACTCTAATACATAACTTGGGTAGAAATAAGACAATTCTAGAAATAAGATTTCCAAATAAACAAATGATTTTATAAGAGTTATGTTATAAGAAAAGTGATCGTGTAATGTTATAGAGATTTGTTTTGCGTATAATAATTTTTTTCTTCAAAAAAAATATGGACCCCACAAAATATAGTGTATATAGGAATATTTGTTCTGTTATATTAACTGAAAAATACAAAACCCATGAACAAAAACAAATGTGATTGGAGTACTACTCCCACCCACTCCATTACATCCAGAACCAGCCAACCTTTTCCTTCAACGGTGTTATTTGCTTTTGACACTCATATTGCAAAGACTAGCCACAGATACCGGGCAACGTGTCAACATCTTGTGCCTTGAGAATATCATTCATCATTATTTTTGACACGTGGCAGATTAGCTAGTCCAAATGATAGACAGATTGGGTCGAATTGGATTTAAGAGAAAAATATGTTTCAATTAGAGTTTAGTAAAAAAATTTGAACAATTCGAACTGAATCAATTCCATCAATTTAGTTTGGATTTAGTCACCAAATTGACATATATTTATATTTTAAAAAAGAAAAAAGTGTTTTCCTTCGACATTAGATTAAATTATTTTCATCAATTCCGAAATAATGTCCTTATGTGATTTAAGAAAAATAAATAGAGGATATTTTGAAAATTTTAATTTCCTCTATATTATGAATATTATTAAAATAACTTATATTTTTTTTAAATCTTAAAACGACATTATTTTGAGTTACATGTCTCAAAATTAAGATTAATACATTAATTATTTTAAATTTTATAATTATTATTTTTAATTCCAATTAAGTAAAATGAGATAGAGATAGAGTATTAATAGAATGAAAGGTTACTTTAGCCAAATATAATTATATTTTTTAAAATTAAAGATATTTAGTCATTTGTTTTATCCTTAAACAAGATTTTGAAAATAATTATCTAAAGTGGGTATAATAATATAGTATATGGAAAATATTAACCCCGTGTGATGGGAGACAACAAGTCTCTCTTACATACTAAAAAAGATATGGGTCCCATTATAATTTTTCTTTTCTTTTCTTTTCTTGTACAATGAGATCCACATAAAATTGTGAGTGCAATATATCATATCTTCAAAATATAATCCCATATTATATAGCAGAAATGGCCTAATATATACTAGGGTGGTGCTTACTCCCCAGAAGGAGCCTTATCTGATGTTGGTACCAGTTGTTTAGGTGCATTTTGTCAAAAGAGAGGAAAAGCCTTATCTGTTCATGCGTTTTTTTTTTTTTTTTTTGATAATCACTGTTCTTGCGTTTTACTTTCAGCAAGATGTGCACTGACAAAGATTGGATTACGAATTTCAAACCCCTTTGACAATGAGAATGGATTCATTTGCATGTCGTTTCAAACTTATCACAATCTAGGATAATTATTTTTCAAATTTTGATCGAAGCTTGAGAAATTAATAATAGAGATATTATTTTGTCCTCATCAAAAGAAAAGACCTGCAGGAAAATAAGTACCGTCAAATATTTGTTAATCCCACTAATCTTGATGGTCTTATCAGCTAATGAATGGTAGGAGAAGAATTTTCATAATATTATGGGTGAAAATCCCCCAAAAAGAATGGAATACTATATTTATGTAAGAGTTTTTTTTTTTTTTTTCTGTAAACATTAAGAGCTTTTTACGGCATATTATATGTGAAAATATGTGAGGTTGCTTATTAAGATTTATGGCCCAACAGTCCCATTTTTTTTTTTACATAGCATGTCTAATAAATGGAAATATGAGTATCATGTTACACATTTTGTGTCATATTATAGACATAAAAACATGTGAATCCTAAAGAAAACAAAAAAAAAAAGTCATAAAAATGTGAGTCCTACTTTTTTGTGTCTATGGCATAACACAAGATGTATTATATAACATGATACTCACATTTCCTTTTAATAAATTATTAAATTTATATTCTCTATAAATGATATTTACTTATACACTTGCTTTTTCATTATTATTTTTTTCAGTTAAGATATTAATTTATTGAATAAAAGACATAATTATTGCACTTTGAGAAAAAAAAATTATGACTAATTATATTAAAGAAATATTTATTATTTTAAAGGATATACATTTTTGCTATTTTAGATGAAATGATATCATTTTAATGCATATTTGATATTTTTTACCTTCTCTCTATTTTATAAAATTCCTTCATAAAATTAAGAAGAGAGAAAAAATAGAGAATAGAGAATATGAAAAATTACCAACTATACATTAAAACAACATTATTTCATTTAAAATGATAGATAATTTTTCCCTATTATTTCTTCCTTGAGAGATTGGTTAATTTTGATGCAACGGTAATAGTAGTGAAAGTGGCCCAATTAAAAATATAATCAATCCCTCTTGCCTTGATAAATTCTTGCTCATTAAAAATAATATATCAAAAGAATAGATAAATCTCAAGTTGTGACATTTTGGTTAGAGGAATGTGGCCCAATTAGATTATGTCTCTAATTCAATCCTTGAAAAAACTTTTGGTGTTAGAGGCAAAACATTTAAGCTTCAAGTATTGGCGTGAGATTAGTCTCATCCCATGTTGTATTCTCGAGCCCCGGGAGATTGCAGAGTGAGGATAAACGACACTTTAATTTTCAACTAATAAGATGTTGACCGTAAGCAACGAAAACTTCCAAATAACATAATTATAGATGGGAATTGGCCAATTAGAGTTGTTGGTGCTTTATTTAGTAAAGTAATCCACATGAAAACCCAATTCAATATAAAAAGCGAAAGAGGAACATAAAGGGCACTGTATTGTAATCGTTGGACATTACCATGGGTAAAGGTTGGCCGTGAAGCGGGGCTAAAAGCAACAATAACAAAGCTAAGGTGAAATTTTAGAAAGACCTGCAGTCAACATCAGAATTCTAAGCATTTGCTTTTTCTCTTCTTAACTATCAAACGATTGACAGCTAAACCGGATAATAATATGATATACGTTACTTTTACCAAATGTATATACATACATAGGAATAAATCATTTTGGCATCAAATTTTAACCATTATTTTTTATTAATTTAATGATTATAATTTACTAGAAATTAATAATTAATTAATTAATAAGTGTGATTTAATTAAATTATAGTAATTGAATTGACGAAAATCAATAGTTAATATTTGATGTCAAAAATCATATTATATATATATATATATATATATACATATATATCTTATATTATAAAGGAATTCCATTATGTGGAAACATTGCTGACGTGTCGCACTGTGGTTCAATTTCACCATTGTGTTCACACTACAACATTTAAAAAAGTTTCCTTTAATGGTAAATCGGTGAATATAATAAATACAAAAAAGAATTATATTTTCAATTGACAGGATTTGTTAATTTAAATCAATGGTCAAGATTGTTTATTCACCATTTCTAATCGTTTTTTTTAACCTTTATTCAGTTTAATTCAAATCTTTACGTTTTTTGAAAAAAAAATAGGATATTCATTGTTATTAAAACAAATGACTGTTTTTAGGGCCGACAAAATGGGCTGAGCCCGCCGGGCTGGCCCGCCCCGTCTGCCAAATGGGGCGGGCTGGGTTGAGTTTTTCAACCCACCAGCCCGCCAAACCCGCCCCGCCAAACCCGCCAGCCCATATGGGTCAACCCGTCACGGGGCGGGCTAGCCCGCCAAGTCCTTTTTTTTTTTTAGGTTACCCAATTGTTATGTAGCTCCGTATCTTAGATTTCTCTGCATGCAAGTGGCTTTTTTGAATTGTTGTGGACTGCTCATACAACACTTTGTTACTTGTTTTGTTACTCTATTTTATCCTTATATGATTTTATTTTTTTATTATTATTTTTGGATTGAAAGATGCATATTTATATGCTGATTATTAAACACTGATCTTCTTGGTTTCATAAGCACATTAGGATTTTATGCAGATTTTTGTATGCTTTTATGCAGATTTTTTTATGTGATTTTATGCAGAATTTAATTTTTTGTATTTTATTTTTATATTTTTTTTATTTTACGCGGGCTGGCCCGTAGCCCGCCAGCCCACTCATAAAACGGGTCAGGTTACTCAATTCAACCCATTTTGTCAAAACGGGCCGGGGCGGGCCAGCCCATTTTGGGCGGGCTAGTGGCGGGCCGGGGCGGGCTGGCCCATATTGCCAGCCCTAACTGTTTTATTCCATGAAATGACTGTTAAAAAACGGGATATTCATTGATTTATAACTACTTAATCACTCTTTGTCGTTATCTTTGTTTTTTAAATCTTTATTCAGTTTAATTCAAAAATTTCACATTTTTTAAAGAATACAATTCTATTTGCTTGAAAAAAAATTAATTAGTAAAAAAAAAAAAATTATACATATCCCGACCTTTGTTCCTTATTTTCAGATTTTTAAATTTGAATCTTTTATTAACCTCTTGATTCAGTGGAATCAGGTATGAGTGTTTTGTTATTAGAAAAAACTTCTGTTTTATTCCATGAAAATCTCATTTATAACTACTAAATCACTCTTTTGTCGTCATCTTTGTTTTTTAAATAATTGATGTTGATCATGTAATCTAATCGTTTTTTTTAACCTTTATTCAGTTTAATTTAAATCTTTACGTTTTTTGAAAAAAAAAGGGATATTCATTGTTATTAAAACAAATGACTGTTTTACTCCATGAAAATCTCATTTATAACTACTGAATCACTCTTTTGTCGTTATCTTTGTTTTTTAAATCTTTATTCAGTTTAATTCAAAAACTTCACATTTTTTAAAGAAGACAATTCAAAAACTATAAATCACTCTCATTTATACAATTCCTGATACGCATTATTCTTCAACGTCGGTGATTGCTTCTCTGTTTTTTCTTCTTACACAAAATATGAGTTCAAAATATCTTATATTATAAAGGAATTTCATTCTGTGTTGATATGCAAAATCAATTAGTGTTGGATGAAGTAATGTATGACAGATTTGCTTTGGAAGAGGAGCATAAAAGACTAATTAATTCCCTCACTGATGAGCAGAAAGCTGTTTATGATAAAATTGTTTCAGCAGTTACGGCAGGTAATGGAGGGTTATTTTTCCTATACGGGTTCGGTGGTACAGGAAAAACATTTATTTAGAATACTCTTTCAGCATCTATTAGATCAAAAGCTGGAATCGTACTTAATGTTGCTTCTAGCGGAATTGCTTCCCTTCTGCTTCCTGGAGGACGAACAGCGCATTCTAGATTTCGTATTCCTATTCAAATCAATGAAGATTCAACGTGTAATATAAGGCCGAAATCTACTATAGCTGAGTTGCTGTCAAAAACAAAGTTAATCATTTGGGATGAAGCTCCAATGGTACATAGATTTTGCTTTGAGGCTCTGGATAGGACACTGAGAGATGTTCTTAGAATTTCTCATACAAGCTGTGTTGATATGCCATTTGGTGGAAAAGTTGTTGTTCTAGGAGGTGACTTTCGGCAAATATTACCTGTCATTCCTCATGGCAGCACACAAGATATAGTTCATGCAACCATCAATTCTTCTCATCTATGGTCCCATTGTCATTTATTAACTTTGACCAAGAACATGCGTCTTAATTCTGGAAGTAGCGCTCACAATTTAGAGGAAATAAAAGAATTTTCTGAGTGGCTAGTTAAAGTTGGGGATGATAATCTTGGAGATGATGTTGATGGAGAATCTATTATAACAATTCCAGATTAATTGTTGATTAGAGAATCGGAAGATCCGCTGTCAGATATGGTTAATTTTGTTTATCCGAATCTCTTGGATAATATTTTGGATCAGACCTTCTTTAAAGAACGTGCTATTCTAACTCCTAAATTGTCCGATGTTGCTATGCTAAACGAGCACCTAATGTCTATGATTCCTGGTGAAGAAAGGACTTTTTTGAGTTCGGATAAAATTCTTAAGCAAGGTGGGACTTCCTCGTTGAGGATGATGAAATCACCCCTGAGATCTTAAATACATTATCATGCTCAGGGATTCCTGATAATAAATTAATCTTGAAAGTTAAAGTTCCAGTAATGCTATTAAGAAATATTGATCAGTCGAGAGGTTTATGCAATGGCACGAGATTGCTTATTACAAAATTAGGGAATCATGTTGTTGAGGCAATTGTACTTACAGGAAGCAATATAGGAGAAACTGTGTTAATCCCTAGAATGACGATGAGCCCATCGAGTCATACATTTCCTGTAAATTTCCAAAGAAGACAATTCTCCCTGATTGTATCGTTTGCCATGACTATCAACAAGAGTCAAGGACAATCACTTTCACATGTTGCAATTTATCTCCCTAAGCCTGTCTTCACTCATGGGCAATTATATGTGGCACTGTCTAGAGTAAAGAGTAAGCATGGATTGAAGATATTGATACTTGATGAAAATGGTTGCGTTACGAATAGTACCCTTAATATAGTTTACAAGGAAGTATTTCAAAGACTGCTATAGTATATTGGGTTCTTTCTTCAAAGATATAACTTCGTTGTATGGTACAGGTAAAGACAAAAAAAATGACTGTTTATTCGCGTCTCTTTTCCTTATCTATCTTCAAAGATATGACCTTTATTATCCTATTTTCTTTCCTATTTTTAATGTAACAATGAATGACTGTTTTGTTACTTAAAAAAATGACTGTTTGGGACCTTTGAAATACTGACAAAATGAGTTCGGCCCGGAGGGCCGACCCACCATGCCAAACAAACCAATTTTTTTTCCCGTGCATCGGCACGGGTAATTCACTAGTATATATATATAGGGAAAACAATCTCTTACGTTATTGTAAAATAGTAATTGTTTCCTACCTTCCTTCACAAAACATACGTGAGTCCCACTTTTTTAATTTTCTCTCACCTCTCTTTTCTCTCTCCTGATCATCCCTATGTTTGTTTGTGCAGGAAACGATTACTGTTTTACAATAATTGTTTTCTTATATATATATATATATGGAAAATTATTTCTGCAGATAAATTATCTGCATTTATTCTCAAAACGACATCGTTTTGGTATTAAAATTTTAAAAAATTATAAATATAAAGACTATTGTAACCCTGAAATAAATTAAAATTACAAAAATACCATGATTTTTGCCCCAAAATGACGTCATATTGGGCTTACTGCAGATAACTTATCTCCAGTAACTGCAGAAAAAGCGAACCCATATATATATATAGAATGAATTTTTTCACCCTGGTATAAGATTTTGAAGTCTTATTTCTATTCTTAATGGTTATAATTAATGAATTATACTAATTAATTAATTATTAATTTTAAATAAATGACAACCGTTAGATAGAAAGAAATCAAAAGCTGAAATTAGGAGTAAAATTTTTAAGTCTTACACTGAAATCAAAAAAATCTCTTCCTACATATATATGTGTGTGTGTTACTGTTAAATTCAAATAAATTAATAAATATGTACAACACTAGTAGATCTAACAGAAAATGGCTATCACAATCACTTAGGGAGCGTTTGGTAGAGGAAAAAAAAATTCCAGGAATATAGTGAGAAATTTTTTTTTTGGGTAAGTTACGAAAATGTTTTTGGTAGATCTAAAATTTTTCCGAAAATATTAGGTTAATTATACTGATACTATGGGAAAATAAAAATATTGTGTATCAAATGGTATTTTTGTTTGAGATTATGTAGTTAAAACAGAAATTATGGGGGGGGAAAAAGTTTCCCGGAAATATTTTAAATTTTCTTATACCAAACGTTGAAAAAAAAATTGCTTTCACCCCACTTTCCCAGAATTTCTAAAACAATCTCCATACCAAAGAGTCCTAGGGCTTTCGAGCCATGGTCATTCAAAGAATCACATTCTTCAACATATCTTTGGCATAATTCAAGGGATTTGTTCCTAAGGAGCGTTTAGTAGAAGAGAAATTTTTTTTTAACCGAGAATTATGATTTCCTGGAATATAATGGCATAGTGAAATTTTCGGGAATGTTACCAAAAAGTTCCTACCAAAATATTTCCAGAAATATTGGGTCAATTTTCTAAATGCCATGTTTGGTTGATTGTAAAATACTGCTGAGAATGATGAGTGATTTTTACAAAAGTGACCTTATATCTTAAATTTACTCATCATTTTGATTCAACCAAAAAATTACTATCGACCTAGAAAACAAAATCGTCCACAAATTTAAATCAACTTTAAGCCAAAATAAAATTCGAACAAAGAATCTATTATTGTCGAACCCACAACCATCATTTTGCGTTTCCTGCTACCTCTAATCCATATGAACTTTTGTATTTCTTTTGTTCCATCATTTTGTGCGATTCATCCGCCACTGCATGTTTTTCCCAATAAGTGTTTTCATGTAATTTTGAAAAAAAAACTACCTAAATTGTCTTCGTCTTCAGCAACCAATCGTCTTCGTCTTCGTCTTTTTTCCTGACAATTCCATGAACTTCTTAAAGATACTTTGTTGTTGAATTCTATTTCTAAGTATGTAGCAAGATTTTCAACCTAACAAATAATGATACAACTAGCCTCTTAAAATTTTGGGCCTTTTGTCTAAGGCGAGAAGGAAAACAAATTCAATGAAAGATTTTGTAGCTTCATCACGAGGTTCTTCACCTGCCAGAGAGAGCAGGCTTATATCTATTAGAAATCGACAATCACACAAATGGCATATGAAATGAGAAAAAGAGAGAGATAGAGAGAATAGACACAGAGATTTACCCTGGTTTACCCAATTTAGGCTACGTCCAGCTTGTCTGTACTATATTCACCTCACCGTCACTCGTTACAAGTCACTCAGTTTACAAAAAAAATATAAATAGGATTAGAAAACTCTAACAACAGCTATTCATGGGCCCAAGCCCAAACTAGGGCCATCACCAACGTGCGAAGTATGTTCTATACCCAACAATATCTCTCTGCATTGAAAGCACGATGCAACAAAGGGTAAAACAGTCCCAAAAAATCAGAAAAATTTATCCAAGAAACCGATTTGTGGAAATACCACCTACTTTGTGGTATTTCTTGGTGGTATTTTGACCACAAATTTGCACTACAATCAAAATGTTGGGCGTTTGTGAATCATGGGCAAAATTTTGGATCACCTCTATCAAACATAGATATATTACAATCTCAAGTGAGGTTTTTTAGGATTCTAAAAAAAGCACCTCTACCAAACAGGCTCAAAGGTGTTTGGTAGAGGAAAAAAAAAATTTACCTAAGAATCGTAATTACTGGAAATATGGTAGAAAAATAAATTTTTTGAGAAAATTAAAAAAAAAATTGATAAGCCGAAATATTACCGAAAAAAATGATAGAAAAAATAGCATTTTGTTGGCAAAATTAGAATACCACCCTCTAGGTGGTAGAGGGTGGTATTCTTATGTGGTATTCTTAGTGGTATTCTTCAATTTTACACACAAAATACATTCCTATGCAAATAAGTTTCCTAGGCAAAAATTTTTCAAATCTCTATCAAACATGATCTCCTTTAAATCCTATCCCCACTTTCCTCTGTAACAAAATAAAATTCCCCTACCAAACACCGCCTATAAGATAATCTTAAGGAGGTGCTTCCAAATCGGCAGTCTTTGTAATACCTATTTCCCAATAAAATAAATCTTTGTTGGAAAAAAAGCACATATATAAATTAAAAAATTTAATGTGAAAATTTTCCTTATATGAGAAGTGAAAAATACGTAATCAAATTCAAGAAAAACGTCCACTATAAAATTAGAATTGTAAATTTACAAAAAAAAAAAAATTAGAATTGTAAAGGATTTTTTTTTTGGTTATAAAATTTATAGTTTTATTCTCAATTCCTCAATCAATAAAAGGATAAATTACAAATAATCTCTCCCTTGGTCTTTCTCAATTGATTCGGGATTTTTCTTATTTTTGTTCGATACAAACTCTCATTTTTTCCTAAAATCTTTTCTTTTCGGAGACTTAAAAAGTCATTAACCGATGCGTGTGATTAAGAAAAATAACTCCAACTGTAAGTCGTTTGATGTGATGTATATATGAATATTTAAGCCGTATATATGAATATTTAAGCCGCTGCCACCTTCGCCGATAGTGATGTTGTTGGAGTCAACAACTCCTCAAAATCAAATTGTATTATAAAATGCCTATAGATTTACTTACTTTATATACAAATAATCAGTAGCCAAAATACTAACCACAATCTTGTTTAATATTTTGCATGTTATAAAAAATAATTTTATTATTTTGTTTAATATTTTTTATGTTATAGAAAATAATTTCATCTCATATACACATAAAAGTGAATTGAGAATATTTTTTCTCTCTCTTCTCTTCAACCCTATACATTTTCATATATATATATATATATATATAGGAGATAATTTATCTCCTGCAACATAAAAAACATTGCTCTCATCTTTAATTTCTTAGCGATACACATAAAAGGTTCAACTACTCCATTGTTCTCAAGGTTATTATCAATTTCTTTCAGATTATTCCCTTTCTTTTCTTTTTTCTTTTTTGCTTTATGTTTTCTAAATTCAAACAAAACCAAAAACAGTTTTCTTTCAAGAGAAAAGTGTTTGTCCTTTTAAATGACATAACTTATGTCATTTCACTCTCATAAAGAGATGGAACTCACATCTTTATTTTTTTTTGTTCACTCTCTCTCCTTTATCTATCTCTTTCTCTCATAACACAACTTTACATCCTTTAAAATGACACACATTTTTTCCTTCTTTCAAAGATCAAACATTCTTACACTGGTTCACCTCTACCGTTTAACCTAGGGAACGTTTAGTAGAGAAGAATTTTTTTTTTTATCCAGAAATCTTGATTTTCAAAAATATGATGAAAACATTCAGTTTACGATAATATTCAAAAATCAAAAAAATTTAAAAATTCAATTTCCCAATTTTTTTGAAAAATACCAACTACCAAACGCCCCTTAAACAAAAAGGAGACAAGAAGAAAAAAAGGAGACAACGAAACTTGAGAACGCTTCCGTGGACTGCACTCTATGGCTATGCAAGAGACCACACGCATTGGCCCTCTTCGTACTTGAATTTTAAATATATAATTAATTGTCTATCTATTACATCATGTGTATAAGTTCATTTAGTATATGGAACATATACTTCTTTATTACGAGGTTTTTTCAGAGCAATTTTTACTATCCAACGGATTCACCTTAGGCTGACTAATAGTCTTCACTGGGACTCAACCCTGACCTTGAAATGGAACAACCTCTCTCTCTCTTCTCATATCCAAAAAGGAAAACTGTTACGGGATATTTGGCTGAGAATAAATTTTTTGAATACTAAGAAAATGTAATTACTAAAAAAATGGTTGGAAAGTAAGTTTGGTAGGAAAATATAAAAAAAAAAATTTTGGTTGACCAAAATATTATCAGGAAAATTTATTTAAATTTGCAAAATCTATGTTCGAGAGAAACTTCGCACCTATTTTTTCATTTCTCCATTTATCTCAAAATACCACATTTCAAGTGGTATTCTGTAACAGTGAATTTCATCCAAAAATCAACACAAAAGTTATTTCCCCATCTATCTTATTTGCCAAGTATTTTTTTCAAAAACCTGAACCAAACGTGGTATTTTTCAATATCCACTTACACTTTCCTATCAATCCTAAAATAAATCTTCTACCAAACACTAGTAGACAAATCCATTATTAAAGACTTACGATCTGGAAGAACCCTATATGTGACAAACATGTACGTAAGTTGAATTCTATAATATATCTACATTTGTAATTTTTAAGCAAAATACTAACCCCTCAATAAATTACAGTTGAAAGTTGTTGACAAGTCATCAATAAATTTCAATGGAAACAATGTGCTCTACATCCCCAAAGCTCAAAATGTGATGGCCCAAGGGCAATATCCTCTTTCCTTGTTCATCTGCAAAGCTCAAGTGTTCACAAGGATCCACCAAAATGCTTGTTTCAATAGAATTCTTAGAAATTGTATGCACACGACTGAATCCAACTAACTGGGTTTCTGGAGAGCCTTCTAAAACTTTTGGCCATTTAGAGAACAACATCACAACATGGCTTCCATTCAAATCACCAAGGTTCATCACAGAAAGGTGCACTGAGAAACTCAATGAATTGCAATTTTGCAACTTATCAACTTGGACATGATCAACTCCATAAACCTCTTTCCCTACCTGATTTAATAAACTCTTTCTGGAACCATCTTTGATAATTCCAGACAAACTAATTTTACTAGGAGCTGATAAGAACTTGTATGAGAAATCACTGTAACTTAAGCCATGCCCAAATCCATATATTCTACTTCCAGTATAAAAACGATAGGTCCTTCCTGGATAACCACGTGAAGGATCAGCTCGCATGCTCATGTCATTCATGGGAACATTGGTAAATGACTCAGGGTACCAAGTCATTGGCAACCTTCCAGCTGCATCAAAGCCAACTTCAATAGTTAAAAATCTGCCTTAGAGAATTGACCTACCAAATTTTGAATTCAAGTATTTCATACAGTACATCATAGACAATGACAATAAGCAGATATAATTTCAAAAAAGAGGCTATTAGCAATCCTAATATTGTGGCTTTTTGACCAAAGTAGGTTTTATTTAGGCTCTAGTTACCACTAAGGGTAATATATATATATATAGAGAGAGAGAGAGAAAGAGGTAGGATCATTTAACACCAGTGTCAAAATTGAAATTTGACACCTCATCTAAGAGTCATTAGATCAAAAAAGATAAACGACTCTGATTTGTAAGCATGTGACACCATTGATCTTTTTTGATCTAATGGCTCTCAGATGAGGTGTCAAACTTCAAATTTGACACTGGTGTCAAAGAATCCTACCTCATATATATATATATATATATTTCCAGTGCCACCACCCCATTGTTTATTTTCATTTTTCTGTAACATCACAAAAAGCAGAAGTCCACATGGACTTGTGTCTTCATATGTTAAAAAAAGAGTAAAGACCCTTTTTGATTCCTAACAAAAAACACGGTCCCCACTTTAGTCCCTTACAAAAATAAATTAGTCAGTTAGTCCCTAACAAATTCAAGGTGGACCCATTTTAGTCCTTTTGAGAGCTAATATGGGTCTTTTTTGAATTTGTGAGGGACCACGATTTCAACTAAATGGGTCTACTTTGAATTTGTTAGGGACTAACTGACTAATTTATTTTTGTAAGGGACTAAAGTGGGGACCGTGTTTTTTGTTAGGGACTAAAAAGGGTATTTACTCGTTAAAAAAATTATGCACCTCCTTTGATATCTTGAAATGAGAGTATATATACTGTTCCAGAGATATTCAATGATGAAGATGGTCAGTGTATGACTAAGGCTTTTGAGCAACACTCAATTGTTACAGTGCTGAGATCAAAGTTGTAGGCAATTCATCACCACTTGTGCCTCAACTGTCCATGAGTCTATCATTGCAACAGTATTGGATCAGTTTAAAGTTGACATTGGAGTATCAGATATTGATGAAGAATGGAATATAGACGTAACAGTGAAGTTTACTGAAGATAAAGATGAAGGCTAAATTAAATGGTAGCTCATCTGACACTAAAATTTAGGGTGACTTTGATGCTAATTATTCACTCTCTTAGCTTGGCTTCCCATGTTATTATTGCTTCTTCAATTGCATCATCATTACATATCAGTGAACAGCCACAACAGATAGGTTAGTCTCCTAATGATTTATTTGACATATAGTGAAGCTAGTGTTTGCACTAACGCAACAGTTGGTGTTGTCAACATGTGACCCAGAGGTCAAAGGTTCGATTAATTTAATCAACCTCTTGCATGGTCATGATTCTTGACAAACATATTGTTGAGATATATAGTCCCACATTGGTTGTATGTGCAACTAATGTAGAGTTTATAAGGTCTTGGACACTCCCACCCTTTGAGCTAGCTTTTGGAGTGGTGTATCCCAAGGTTCTTTACATGGTATCAGAGCCTCGTGTCCCAGGTTCGATCCTCGCCGCCCTCCACTTTCTTTCAAGTGGAATTTCTTTCTTCGCACAGGTAGGTGGGCCTGTGCATTGTCCACTCTTCAAGCCCATTGTGCATTGTCCACTCTTCAAGCCCAGTGGGCTCTCGTGTGGGGGCGTGTTAAGATATATAAAACCATTAACGTAGTCTCACCCAACAGCTTAAGCTTTTGGGTTGAATTGGTTCTTGACAAACATATGCCAACATGCGACAAGAAAGAATAGTCTACATCTAATAGACATCAAAGCATAAATGCGGTTGTGGCAAATAGCACCTTGTTCGGCAACCTCAATATGCATATAGTGTGTTAGTGAAAAGTGTGAATACAACACAACAGGAAATGCAAATAGACTCACCCTAATTTAAATGTTAATGATGCATGAAGATGCCCTTGTCTAACAGCATATTCATTTATAACTATACATACCTGGATTGAACTCTCCAAAGATAATTTCAGCTAGTGCTTTTCCACCAGCTTCACCAGGGTACCCAACCCAAAGAATACTTGCAATTTGTTGATTTCTTTCAGCAAAGGAGACATCAAGGGGTCCTCCACCAGTAAGAACTAGAATCACTGGATTTTTACTGGCACCTGCAATGCATGATACAAGGTCCATTTGTTTACCAGGCAAGAGAAGACTAACTCGGTCATGATCCTCTGTCTCTTGCGTTGTATCAAGCCCGGCAACTATAATAACAAAATCAGCTTGTTTTGCAGTGTCAACAGCCTCAGCAAAACCATCATCAGAATCACATGGTACATCAGGGCAACCAAAAGCATATGATAGCCTCTTTGAAAACTCTTTAAGTCCCTCGTGTAAACTTTTCAAGGAGCAAGGTATTCCTACATTATTAGGTACAAAATCATATGGTTCAGCATCAGAAATTAGCGGTGTCTTCTAGAAGATGGAGAAACATTTAAAGTGTTGATGATGGCCTAAGAGTGACGAAATTTAAGAATGCAGCTTTCTCTCATCAGTGGGAGAAGATGCCCTTGTATCCACAGGTCATTAGCTAAGAGACTCAAACTTCCCCTTTGTTTTTCCAGCGATATAGCAAAAAGTTTGGAAATTAGTAAAATGTAATTTATAATGGAAAAAATTGTGTCCTTCACCGAATACTAAGTTTTATATTACTCTGAGACCAGGACTAATAGACATTATATAGTATAATACCATCAATCGATCAGGCATTCAAGTTAGCTAGAAAATAAAAATGAAATTTCGGGAAAACAATGTAATAGTTATATATTTGGTCCTTCAGCTTGAATGTCCTGTGTACATATACCATTGGCACCCGAGGGCAGGGTTTCATAAAAGGGATAGCCTAACCAAGGGAGTATAGTGCAAGCAAAAATTAAATCAAACAATCAAATGAAGATGAAAAAATTACAATGCTCCAATATGAAAACCATACCTGAGTAGCCACCACCTAATTTGTTTGTAGTTGCCATTGGGCCAATGACAGCTAAGGAAGCATCAATATTCCTATTCAAGGGAAGGAACTTCTTGTCATTCTTCAGCAGTACAATTCCCTGCCTTGCAGCTTCAAGTGCCAGTGTTTTGTGTTCCACGGTGCAAACATCCTGCGACCCCAGTTTGCCAAACTGGCCTCTTCTGGGGTCTCCATCAAACAGTCCAAGGCGCAGTTGAACAGAAAAAAGGTTCAGAAGAGCTCTGTCTAAATCTTCCTCTTTCACCTTTCCTTGTTCAAGGGCGGATTCAGTATTTCGAAGCATATAGGTTCCACAATTGATATCCACACCTATAAATCAACTGATGAATTGAAATATCTCGGAAACTACCCAATTCATATAAAGTTATAAATAAACTACCTAAAAGCTAGCTCAAAGGGTGGGAGTGTCCAAAGCCTTATAAACTCCACATTAGTTGCTCATACAACCAATGTGGGACTATATATCTCAACACGCCAGGACTATATATCTCAATACGCCCCCTCACACAAGAGCCCTTTGGGCTTGAAGCGTGGATCTCTGATACCATGTAAAGAACCTTGTGATACACCACTCCAAAAGCTAGCTCTAAGAAATTTGGGATACACCACCCCAAAAATTAGCTCTAAGAAATTCCACAAGAGAAAGTGGGGGGCGGCGAGGCTATGATAGCCTATAAATAACTTGGATACACCACCCTAAAAGCTAGCTCAAAGGGTGGGAGTGTCTAAAGCCTTATAAACTCCACATTAGTTGCTCATACAACTAATGTGGGACTATATATCTCAACAAAAGTTGATGCAATGAATTCAATGAAACCATGCATTTAAATAGACATACAAAAAATACCTGCTTTGAGAACATCAGCAACAGCATCCTCTGGGGATTTTGCATACTTCTGATACTCAAAAACCGTGGCCACAGCGTCACAATCTGAGGTAATATACCTATACTCAAAACCACCAAACCAATCCTGATAATCAACAAAAGATCAATTTTTTTATTTTTTTACAATGACATGAATTCAAAAGTTCCTCAAAGCCTTACCCTTTAAATCCCCACTTGTTTCTAGCCAATCCCAAGAGATCCTCACTAGCACAAGCAGGAACACCATTAACTTCATTGTAGGAACACATCAAGCAGCTAGCTTTCCCTTGTTGAATGCAACCACGAAAAGGTGGCTGATAAGTGTCTTCCAAATCCTGCTGCGATACCTACAAAACACAAAACCAATTGACACCAACCAAAACCAACTCCACTCAACACCATACCAATCCCAAATAAAAACAAAAATAAAACAAACAAACATACAAACTTACCACAGCATTGAAGTTATACCTAGAGAACTGTCCCCAGTTCTCCAAATCATAAGCAGTGAAATGTTTGCAACAAGCAGATACCATAAGGCCATCATCAACAACCACACCATCAGCACTCAACACCCTTTTCTCCCCAAACACATTTGTGATTTCTCCAACACCTTGAAGCCCTCTCACAAACTCAATTCCATAAGCAGAAGCAACCATGGGGTCCTCACCTGGTGTCTCCTGTCCCCTCCCCCATCTGGGGTCCCTGAAAACGTTGATATTAGGAGCCCAGAAAGTCAACCCGGCTTGGCCAACGTTGTACATGGCTCTACCCTCAACGGCCACGGCGGAACCAATCAGAAACCAGAGGCTGCGGTTGAAGGAAGCGGCGGAGACGATGACTTGGGGGAAGTTCGTGGCAGATGAAACGGTGCCGTTGAAGGACACGCCGGGACCGTTGGTGGCGATGCCGTGGAGAGACTCCGACCACCACTGGTAAGCGGGGATGCCGAGGCGGGGAATGGAGGAAGCGTTGTTTGTGAGCTGTTGAATCTTCTCAGGGAGGGTCAGAAGGGAAACGAGTGATCTTGCTCTTGTGGGAATGGGAAGAGATGTATCGCAGAATTGGTACCATGAATGTTGAGGTGGCTTGCATGGGAAATCGAGAACTGAAATGGGTGTGGAAAATTGAAATAGGAGGAACAAGAAGCACAACAAGCAACTCCATTCATTTGACATTACTGTCTTTGGCTTTTGTTTCTGACACTTTTTTTTTTTCAGTTTGCAGAGTTGAAGTTCACAACACAAACAACAACATAACAATTTCGCTATTGGAATTTTTTTTTTCTTTTTTTTTTTTAAAACCTCGAGGTATTAGCTCCTTCGATCATCTTCTTCTCAGAATATGATCTAGGCTACCTCTCGATAGAACAGTCGCATGTGCATTGAGTTTCGTCACTAGAGGAAGGATGGAACTGATCTTCTATTCGAGAAAAGAGACACTTATTGTTACTCTAAAGATTTTTCAAGAATTTACTCAACGAAGATTGGGGTTTGAACATCTGACTCAATCAAATCCTAGAAAGATCAATTGTCAACTAAGCTATCTTTGCGAATTTCTTTTTTATTTTAAAGTCATCACATATTATAAGTTTTAACAAATAATTTATCAGGATGATTACAAATAACTTATTAATAAAATTCTACTAAATCCAGAACTATTTTGTCAGTGGTGCTTAGTTTGCTGTGAGTTCAAGCAATTTCCATTGACAGTAAACATAATTTGCATTCTGCATAACTAAGAAATCTTCATTCTTACAAAACTTGAGACAATAATGGAATCTTTATTTCAGGTATACCGAACATCATAAAATTAAAAAATTATGATGTAAAAAATTCAAAATCTGTGTATGAAACCATGATTTTGGTGTTTCAAGCAAAGCCCTGTCTGTGGTGGTTAGATTTTCTACCTTTAATTTGGGCTTGAAGCAATACTAAGGAACTATGTTCTCACTTAGTATGTGTAGGTTGTTAGCCCAACTATAAGACAGTGTAGCAGGCCCAGCTAATGTTCTTCACGCAACCAGACATATGCACCAACCATAATGGTGAGCTTAGCTATGTCTTGATCTTTTTATTTTATTTTATTTTCCTAAAATCGGTATGAACAAGTTGGATATATGAATAAAGTATTAGTATACTAGGGAATATATTCTCCTCACGTTGTTCTAAAAGAAAAAACAAAGCACCTTTACTGGACTAGAATTAGATAGATTCTCTAATCTCAACAAATGGAAACCACATTCCCCATTTGTCTAGTTGCTCAATATATTAATGTCAGGGAAATTTGTGAATAAAGTTTGATTTGGGTGACCCCTGTCTCTTATGGGTGCTACCAGCAAGGTTCTATAGTATTTGTCCAGGAATCTTTTTATAGTTTATATAGTTTGATGCAGTGAGGAATTCTGACCCAATTTGACAAGAGTCAGAAGAAGAAACGAATTATGTGCTAATTTTTCTACTTGATGGATAAACGCATGACATTCTTCGAGAAACCACAATAACAAAGACGGTACATTAATTAATCAAGAAGGTCTTGATCGCATCTCTCGTTATTCTTCTCTGCTCTCCATCAGCTTATGAGTTGACAATGGAAAAAGTGAAATGATTTTCGTTGCCTTTGGCATAATAAAGATGTTCCATTGAAGAGAATCCTAATTAATATAACATCTATGAACTAATGGTGTTTATGAAGGAGACGGTGTTATACACAAAAGGGAGATTTGAAATCAATGAAGATAACAAAGGATACTAGGATTTCCGAAGAATTATCTACATTTTACTCTCTATGGATTTTTTTTGTTAAAACTCATAATTTCGAATAGCTTATGGGGTTCATTAAGTGGACGTAGAACACGAGATTTCATAATTTATACATTTTAAAATTCTCATTGCCGATCAAATCATCATAAATCTAATATGAATAATGAATTCTATACAAACTTAATAATCTAATATTTGTTACTGCTGCTGCAATTAATTGAAAAATCTATGGTCAATAGAGAAGATTGAGAATATGTTAGCTAATCTCACTTTGACTAATCCATCTCATGTCTGAATTCATGAATGTGAACAGAACTTACAGTTGCCCATGTACAATTCATATTCTTGGATGCAAATGCAAGTAAGCTGCGGGAATCTAATGATTATTATGATCTCATTTTTGGAATTTACTTAAGGGAGCATCCCAATTTCCACATAGTCTCAGCAAACCAATCTGGCATGTGAGTTTTGACAAATCTTTCAGTAATAATTCGCAAGGTTTAATTTGGTAATTTACAGACTGGTGAAAGCAAACAAGTATAAGACATAGAAGTTTCAATTCGATGTGATATAAAGCGAGCAATGTAAACAGTTGGAGGCTTGGAACTATGTCTCCCCATGAAGCTATGTTATAATTGATACCTACAAGCCTATAAAGTTTCAAACCATGAGTATAATTGGATAATGACAATGATCGTAGAATTCTTCGAATTATGATATCACCATTTAGTGAAGAAAACAAATGGATATGATAGCTAAATACAAAATCTCAATTGGGGTTTAAGCAAGGTCATGTGTCAAGTGGTGCATCACTGAGAAGCCATTTTGAATCAGCATTAAAGTCCTAACTAAATCCAAGAGTGTTGGATGCAATCATCAGCTAGACATAATCATTACCCCGTTTTAGGAGCAATTTCAAGAGGTTCTAGTGGTCAGTTATCAGCTGCAAGGATCAGTTTCCACATAAAAAGGATTAACATAAGGTCTAAAAGAACAGTTTAAAATTGACTTATATAAAGTTCAGTGAATACATATTATTGACATGTATAGCATTGACTTCAATTGAATGTCTGGTTTTGCAGTCACCTCAATATGATGATGTTATACATAGAAAGTTGATTGGGTATTATTCTCATAATTAGCTAGCTATAACAAGGCTTTTCATATAATATTCTCTGATAGCCTCACTAACATTTCATTATAGTTACCAAACAATGATAGTTCAGTTAGCGTAAAAGGACTGAGCAGTTAGAGGTGAAAATATGTGTTCGATCCTCTTCACTTCTCATTGCCATCTTTAAGAGGGGTTTAAAGTCTTAATCTCAGGACCCGTCCGGAATCAGATTAGTCACGAAACGATGAACTGATTGGAATATTACAACAACAACAATAACAACAAAACATTTCATTATAGTTGCTATGCAGCTAACTTTGCAGCGATCATCGCTTTTTTGACCTTTTCTTTTTTCTTTCATGCGATTGTAGCCATGAATTTGAGTGTTGCAAGTTGCGATCCCTTATATGTGCTCATAATTCTAAGTTATAGGTAGGACCATTGCTCGTTTCAATCTAACTCATTTAATTTTCGAATTGAATGGGCTGGTCCAAAAAGATAAATAATGTTTGAACAGGTTGATATTTTATTAGTCTGGTTTTATTTAAAGACAACCCACAAGCATAAATGGTGTGTCTTTTTCTTTCACTTTATAAATATTTATAATAAATTAATAACATCCAAATCATATCAAATGTAAGCTTTTAATTCTAAAGCAAAGTCATAACTAATAACAAATCTAAGTTTCAAAAGTAATTTAACACTGCCATGTTCAAAAAAAAAATCCACATTTTTGGGTTTAGTGTTAGAATTTTTTTAATTTTTTCAATTACTTTACTGAGGGATTTTGAAAAATATTTAATAATTTTCATTTTATTTTTTATGTTTTAATACTATTGTTGTGTTAGATATTATATTTTTAAAAATAAAATAAAATAAAAAATAAACAAGCCTGTCCGTGGATTAACTCATTTAACCTACAGCTTAAACGAGTTGGGCCAAAAATATAAAAGTTTAAACAGATTAATATGTTTAAAGTCCAATCCACTTACTTTTGACATATAAACAAGCAAGCTCCGTGAGTTTGACCCATTTTAATACTACGTCCAAGCTTAAAATAATTAGCATAAACTTTTTGTTTCCTTTACATGATTACATGAAGGGAAAAATTACTTTTATGCTACATGTGATAAATTTCTCTTCTACATATCTTTCGATAATTGCGTCACTTTTTTCTTTTTTATTTTTTTTATTTTTTAGGTGGTGGAGCTCACAAGTTTATCTCTAAGACAAGAGATAACTTATCTCCTTTAACATGAGATTAATAAAATCCTTACATCAAATAGTTTAGATAGGTGAAAACACTCATGTAATTTTTTTTTCACACAACATGGAATGGAGATTTGAATGGTCACTTAATTTGTGTGCCTCTATGTGTGGTCCAAGCTTTTTTTTTTTAAATATGTAGATTGTTTATTTAGGAGATCCTTATATTTCAATAAATAAAAATATTTTTTACTCCGGCACACTATAAAGGAGATAAGTGAAAACGAATTTTTTATTTCAAATATTTGTAATTAGCATCTTTATGTGACTAAACTCTATTGTCTAAGGAGTCTATTACTATTTGCATTAATTGAACACACAACCTATTATATAACTATCCACACCCCACCGTTAGGTTAATTCTAGTGGCTTAAAAAACAAATTTTTATGTATACAATATTTTATTTATTTTATATTATGTATCGGTTCATTGATTACTCGACTAGTCTGATTCAAGTAAAATCACATGGGCAGTAAAACTCTCCATATCAAATTTTAACACGCCTGTATTCTCATAGACTTGAGAATGAAACCACTAATTAAGCTGGAATAACCTTTCATCAATTGATCCACGTACTTGGTGGTATTTTTATTTTTTTTCAATCATTGAATTTTGTATGAAGATACTTTTATTTTAGATACCTATTTATTTATTTTCAATCATTGAATTATTGTTGTTATTATTATTATTATTATTATTATTATTATTATTAATGTTTGTGAAATTTTCTAGTTAAAAGTGAAAGACCAAAAACCTAAACAAGCATATATATACGGGACAACAATTAAAGTGACATATTTTTCGGAAAAAATTACTTAAATGCAATATTTTAAGAAAAATTTGTCAAAAATACCATGTTTTAGGATAGAACCAACCCTTATTTCAAGGTATTTCAATAAGATTCTTTTTTCTTAAGCTAAGCAAGTCCTCGAGTTTCAATCAATTCATAACCTTCCGAACACAACCAATATCGATTTAGTTGTTACTCGAGTAGATCCGATTTGTCATGTGTTCTCTGGACACGACTTCATGTGA